CTGGGCGGGGAGCGGGAGGGACGGGGGTGTTGGAGCCCGGCCAAGCTGCAGGGTGGCTGCGGGCAGGCGGGAGCTACCTGGGTGTTTGCACCCGTGGCCGTGCGAGTCGAAACCCGGAGGCTGAGCTGGACCTGGGCTTTCCTGCCTGGAAGAGCTGCGCTTTCTGAGTGTCCGGAAGCCGTGTGTATGGAGCAGAACAAAACGCTGGGCGTGGGAACCCTTTTATTTCTCCTGGCGATCCCCTGGAAATGGCCTGATCTGTCTACGGCGCAGCGCTCCTGCCTCGCACTCCTGGGGGGCAGCCCAGGGACCTGCGGAGACGTAGCGAGCCTGTAAAACCAAGAACAAGCCCCGGGAGGAGGAGCAAACCCGTCCCCGGGGCACGGAGGCAGCCCACATCTCCCGTCTCCCCGCGCAAGTCGCTGACTCCTGCTGCTGCTGCTGCAGTGTCTCTGCCACGGCCTGGGAGGCTTTCTGGCCCTAGAGACCTTTCGTTTGCTGCCGAGACACTGAGGGGCTACTGCCTGCCATGAGGCCGCTGCTGATGGAGAAGGGACACCCGGACATGGGGCGCTGATTTTCCGTCTGCTCCGGCGCGGCGGGTGACAACACGTGCCTGTGCCGGGCGATAGCTCTGCGGGACATGGGGCTTGGGAAGGCGGTGGCGGCGGTTGGAGGAGACGGGATGGGCTTCAAGCTCTGCTTGAAATGTACCAGTCCCGTGTACCTGGTTCCCAGCTTGGTGCTGGCGACTGGGCTCCATCTAGGAGTTGGGGTGCTGGAGAGCCGCCCGTTCCACTGCACCGGAGCCTTGGGAAGCCGCAGACACCCCTCATTGAGGGGCCCGCTGTCTCCGGGGACGCTCCCGGGCATGGAGCGGAGCAGGGAGGAGATGCCCCGGCCGGCGGCCGGCCCTGCTCCGCGCTGCTTGGCGGCTGCTGGAGGCTGCTGTAACATAACGCGCTCATTCGGCCCTGAGCGGGGAACAAACTGACTGACGGCCATGTCCAACTTCAATGTTTTTTGTCTAAAGGAAAGAAAAATAAAACCTTGTTGTAAAGACCTGCTGTGGGCGCTGGCTCGTTGCCTCTCCCTGGCCGCTGGCCCCAGGAGTGGGGCTGGAGGGCCCACGCTCCCGAGGGGAGGCCCGCGCAGGCCGGGAGCGAGGCCAGCGGCGGGGGTGGCTTTGGAGGCTGCCGGGCTGGGTTTTGCAGGGGACATTTGCATCCTGCTTTGCCTTGTGGAAGGGCTTTGCCGATGCTGTGTGTGTTGCAGGGCATGGAGAGGGTGGCCAGGTGCTGGAGCAGGGACCAGCCGCATGTGGCAAACGGGGTGCTGAGAGCATCGTGGTCGTGTCGCATTGCCAAAGAAGCACAAACCACCACCCACCTGGAAACCCAAGGAGAAGCGAACAGGCGGGGATTGGAGGGATTTGGGGCTGTAGAGCTTGTCCACAAGCTGTGAATGCCCAGAGGATTTGGAAGCTGTGGCCAGGCCGAGGGTTGCAGGTAAGTTGTCATGCAAAGATGCTGAAGTCAGGTCTTTTTCTCTTTTGCAGAGCTATTTAAAAAGCAAAATAAGTTTTCCAGCAGTCAGTGGCTGCAAGTCAGCAGCCTGCAGCAGCTTGCAGGCTGAATGTGGGCGATAAATGTGTTTTAGGGCTTTTGAAGTACTCCTTTTTATCACTGTTACCAGTGGAGTGGGGAGGGGTAGAGGGACAGCTCTGCCAAAAAGAGTTTTGGAAAGGATCAAGGAAATCTCTTGGCTCATCTGATCCCCCTTGGACTGAGCTTACACTGAGAGGGAAGAGGAGGAAAACCCAAGGGGGACACATTAAATGTTTGCAAATTCGGGAAGAGCACTGAGGAAGGGTTTGGTAATAGATGCCATAGACCTCTTCCCCACGCTTCTGCTCGGGTGCTGGCCTGTGCTGCTTGGTGCAATATCAGATATTCCTGCATGACTTCTACGTTACTATCTTTTTCTTTTTTTTTTTCCTTTTTCTTTTCTTTCTCCCCAGTCTGGTCATAAAGTGTTAGAAAACATGTGGTTTGTTTGTCCCAGGGGGCAGCCCCTAGGCAGGTGCTGCACATCTTCGGCTGGTGTCTCCTGTATCCTGCATCCCGGCCAGGCCCTGGGGAAGATCCCAAGGGGCCCTCACGCCGGCAGGAGAGACGGGCGCCGCGAGCCGGGGGAGCGAGCGCTCTGCCTGCTGGGTGCCGCGGCTAAAAAAAACCCTGACAAATGGAACAGAAAGGTTAAAATTATCTGTACATCATCTGAATAACAATGGCAATGCAGATCGTACCTGCTTATAATAGCTCCGGGAGACAGGGTATAAATCGGGAACAAAAGTACCCCAGAACAGCTCCTGATAGAAACCCGCGTGCACAGGGAAGGGATGGGGGCTCTTCCCGATTTAGAGAGGGCTGAGTAGCTGTGGGAGAGCCAAAACGCGGCCCACGCTGTGCTCTGCTCCCCGTGTCCTCCTCTCCTGCTCTGCGCTGGTTCCCCCCGGCAGAAACACGCTTGGAAGACAAAACGGGTCAGCCAAAATTCCTGATGTTGCCAAAAGACCAGCTGCAGGGCAGCGGCTCTCTTCCCTCTTATTCCCCCAGGATACGTGTGGGCTTCCAAGCAGGGCTGGCAGGGCTGCGTGCCGGCACCGCCGCTGCCGCCCTGGTGTTGCGCGAGCTGCTCGGGTACTGTGGGCTGCCAGGAAATGGGCCCCACTGGGCTTGCCGGGGCTCAGGCTGGGTAATACCCTCTTCCAGGAACCCTCGTGGAGCTGATACTGTCACCTCTGGGGCTTTTTGTGGAAGGGCAGCTCTGCTCTAACCCCTGCTCTCCCGTGGGCTGCTCTGGTCTTGGTACCCGCTCCCTGTCTCCTGGTTAAACATCACTGAGTGAGGAAGAGCCCCCTGTGCTTTTGCTTTTGCCGTTTCTGTGCAGATGATCACCAAAGACACAAATCTGCCTTATGAATTCCAAGGCATGTTTATTGC